GCATTGTCATTTGCAGTCATGCATTTGTATTATGTATGTTTCTGACCTTATCCACCCCACCTGAACAATGTAATAGCTCTTTTCTTAACAGCAGCGGCTTTTGGAAGCAAGTACAAGTATTCCATTTTTTCAGTTGTGAAGACAGTCGAGGGTGGACCATGTCACTCTAACAGGACACTAAGTGGGCACTCTGAGACCAACACAGGTGAAATGACAGAGATTTATTAAAAGATAACAAAGAGTCAAAACATAATATAAACAAGGCACAGGCCACAGCTTTTTTTAGTGTAGGCTCTTCAGCACAGTTCTCTTTTAGATCACAGCTCATTTTAGACTATTAAGAGTTCCAGCTCCTCCTCTAATGAGGTGCACCTGCCTCCCACAACAATGAGGAAAATAATGCTTTTCATAACTGGATAGCAATTAATGACATGACAGCAGCTCTGCCTCTCTAGCCCTCACACAAAGCAGTATATATTCGCTTGGTGTAATTCATTAGAAATCTCATTTGTAGCTCATTTAAACAACAATTATTGAAGATTTTGTGACTTTTTGAAAAGTGTGGATTCTAAGCTTTCAATCGATACCACATTTGCATTTGTAATTACAATAGATTTTTTATGATTTTAATATGGTGAACAGGTGAAATATTGATATAATTTCTTGACACAAATGGAAGAAAGGTGGAAATGCAGACTTGCATTGTTACCATGTGATTAAATACACCCTGGTCAAATGACATGTTTTATTGATTTTTTAAAGTGAAAATAAGTTACACATCCTCTACAGAGAACACTCTCCTGCACATTTTAATACATGATTACTGTTTATTTGCATAATTTAACATATTGGATAATATGCAGAAAATGCCAAATGTAAGTGTGTTCTCCGCAGAGAATGTGTTAACTTGTTTTCACATATAAACTTAACAAAACATGCCAGGGGTGCCCAAATTTTTACATACAACTGTATATAATTAATTCTTTGAGTAAAGATATAAAAGAACCACTGTTGATTGCCTGAAAAACTATGTCTAAAAAAGAGTTTTTTGAGTGTGAAGAACCTTTGACCTTCACATAATATAAAGGTTCTATACCAATTTAAGGATCCTTCTCAGAACCTTTGTTCTGTGAACCAATAGGTCAGTATTGTTTTGTCCTGTTTGCCAGTTTGCAGCAGCAACTATTGCAACTCACAAGCTAATTAACATTAGTTACATTTCTTGTGTGGTTGTTCAGTCTAACATTGTATCATGGTCTTTATCCGTACAACGTTTGTTAAGGGTTTAATGGTCACAAAGATCTAAAAAAACAAGTTTGCTAGCCCAGTGACTATGAGCTTCTGAGGGAGCACTGAAGGGAGGGGTGTATTATTTTCTTTGAATGAATATCTGAATATCTTTCTCCAGAATCATAAACTGCACATATCATTCACTCCTTGATTCATAAAATACATATTTGCATCTAAGATGCAAAAAAATTACTGTTTTTTGGGTTGACCAGACTGCTTTGTTTGAAGAAGGCATAATAAAGAGCAGCCAAACAGAACAGACCATTTGCATATAACAGTCTTAAAGGCACAGAAACAAAAAACAGCCTGTTAAATGTTTAACAGAGATAAGGAAACATTGAAAAACAGTCATGTAAAAATGAATTATCACTGCTTTTCATTTACAAACTTTAGTGGACCTCAGGGGAAAACAGCTCAGCAAACTAGTGCAGTCACTCTCATCTTCTACAGGTTAAGAAAAGTGTAGGTACAACTTAACTATTCCATTTCACATAAACACACAGAGAGACAGCACTGCCACCTCCACTCCCACCACCATGTCTGAACAGTCACTCCAGACCATTCACAGCATACAATCAGATCACAGCAGGGGGCTAACTACTGATACACAGTCGCCGCTCTGCGGGAACCGTCTGCCGCCCTCACACAACCGACAGGTCACCTCAACATCCGTGTGCCAAAAATAACCGGCAGCGTTGAGTCACGCAGGCCAGGCCCGCATTCATCGCCTACCCGCTCTGCTCTCCTATACGAACCTAATGGAGCCCAGTCTCTTACCAGGCCCTTACAGAACGTGCTCATCTTTACAGGCTGACAGCAGACGCAGCTGCGGAGAAGCTTTCATTCTCATAACATCGTCGAAGGGAGATGGGTGGGAAAACTAATAAAGATCTGAAGCATTTCTGAGTACAAATTCATCTTCGAACAACAACCCAGTGATTATTTTCTCTCCTCTCTCGCTCCCTCTCTCTCTCCTTCTCCCTCTATGTCACTTTTTTTAAAGAGAGGGATGAGATTGCAGCAGCGAGTGGATGGGCTGAATTGCGCCGCTGTCCCCGTCAGCTTCAGCTTATTGAATTGATGTCGCTCTTTTAAACTCCATTTGAAGTGTTTGGTGAGGGGCGGGGGAGGGGGCTGGCTGGTGAGGCTTAGGGAAGAAAAGTAGAACCAATAATTCAGGTGGAGACCGGAGACAGGAGCCTGGCACCTGTCCAGCAGTCCAGAGGAGCAGTCCCCCCCAGGCTTATCGCTCACCCCTCGGTCATCCCTCCACATGGCTGGAAACCCACACTGTGGTTGTGTTTGTGTTAGTGAGTACCCAATGCAGAACCACAGCTTTCGATTATGCCGTAAGATCTGGCCTCCAAAACCCTTTAAAATTGCTTTAGAGTGAACTTCATAAAAATACTGTTGCTTTAACCTCACCAGAAACTTTTTCTGCTTGTCCTTGGCTCGTGAGGTCTGCTTGCCTTCAAGCAATGCCAAGACTTCCTCTGCAGTTTTAAAGCAGTGGAAAACGGCCACAGTGGAAAAAAAGGTAACCGGTACTTAGTAAGCAGCGGCGGGTCTGGTGAAATTGTGCATTTAATTCAATTTGTGTGGAGGTCTGAAATCATGTGTGAGAAGCTGGAATGCAATGTGGTCAAATGATCGAATGATCAAATGGAGGTTTATTTCTGTTAAGCGGGTGAGGTTAGCCGTCACAAATGTGGAAATGCACAGAAATGGCACATTAGCACGCTTCAATACCTTTGCTAATGAGAGATGTTTTTAATATTTCATCTGAGACAGAGTTTTGATAAGACGGATTGGGCGTGCCACACTTCAACTACTCTACAAAGTATGGCTGTCTGAATAAGAGAACCCACAGAATACCAATAAGACATAAAATAAACTAAAGCCAATGCCAGTTTCCCTCACATTACCCAAGACAGGGCTCCACTGATACATTTCCTTTTACAAAGTTTCGTCCTCAATAAGGCTTTCACTATGATTAAATAACAGCTAATGTAAAAGGGAAAGAGAAATTCGCTAGCTGGCACAATGCTCTCTGTAGCATATTCTATGTTCTTAACGGAGCGAGGGGGTGTGGAGGGGAGGATTCCATAGAGACGGCACATCTGTGTTTAGACAGCAACACACATCTCGCACTGTACTCGTCTCTGCCTTCACACGAGCCTTAAGTTTTATTTACGTATAGTAACAACATATTGATGACTAAAACAGCAGCATGTAAACTTATAAGGTGAATCTTAATGGAACAGATTTATGAAAGATGTCTACTCTACACAGTGCTGTGATAAAGTCAGAGACCACCTTTCACTTATTTCATCTCATGTAAAAGCTGACATGATTTTTCAGTGTTTAGTGAAGGGGTGTCAAACTCAACCGCTAAAAGGGCCATGTTAAAAAATCTCAACAAATCCGTGGGCCAGCGAAGGCCTATGTTTTTATTTCATTTTTAGTTAACATTTTGATACAACCCGAACTGGCCATTGTTTATTTAAAGTATGGCAAAAACAAATACAGGAATTTTAGCAGACCTTAAAATATTACATGAATACTTGAACTATTCAAAAATCATTTTAAATAAAAACAAATTGTTTATTTAAAACAATAGGCTACATAAGCTACAGATACCCGTTAAACCTCCCAGGTTTAAGTACCCAGGAAGTAGGTTTTTTAAACCTGCCTATTTGCTTAAACGAGACACCTCACATGTTTCCTGTTTTTGGTGTAACCGCGGTCCCATACATTGTTGTTGGGGGAGGAGTGTCAGAGCACATATCACATAGCAATGCATGCTGCGGGTTGTAGTGCAGCTCATTGTGAAACGGGTTAATATTCATAGAAAATTAAAATTATTTCGGGCCGGATAGGATTGTGCCACGGGCATGACTTGGCCCACGGGCCTTGTGTTTGACACATGGGGTTTAGTGTGTCCACTCTTTGCCTTTTTTACGTTCCTTTCAGAAGGCTTGTGTTCAGTTTTTCAAAGAAATCAGCAGGAATATTTCTCCACACCTCCAAAATTCAGTCTTAGAAGTTGGTTGCATTTTCTGCTTCACACAATCCAAATAACTCCAGACACATTCAATAATGTTGAGGGTGTTTTTCTCAGTTACTTGACAGCTACACATCCTTTCAGACCCATAGCGTTGACTTGTCTTCTCACGGTGCAAGGATGGATGGTGGAGCTTGATTTTCTGTTTATCTGATGCTGACAGGTGGTCTACCTGGTGTTGTACATTAAGACCCCCATTTTTAAGAGTGCCATTCTCTGTATGTTTCAAAAATGTTTTGAACTTCAGTTTTAAAAACTCTTGTTTTTTCACTTATTTTTCTTTGACTTTTTCTTTCCTTATGCAAGTGGACTATGTTATATCTAATCTCCTCAGAAATATCTCCTGAAAATCTATATGTTGGCCTAATGGCTTAATGGCCATTTAGACTGGAAATTCAATAAATGAAGGGTGGTCTCTGACCTTTGCACAATGCTGTACCTAAAGAAATAACAACAGCCCTATTATATCACTCTTTCACTGATAGCATGCACCAGCCCATTGCACACATGTTGACTGTTCACAAGTTTCAAGCCAGAGACATCTTTCATGGATACATACTGACATCTAGTGGAGGTAAGAGTGGAGGTGACTGCTTAGTAACGTTTCCCATAAAATGAAACCAATGGCAACGGTAAAGGGCGAGGTTGCCGATAACAGAAACTGCTAAGAGCTGTATTGCGGAAGGAAGTGTCAGCCTTGTTTGTAGAACTCTTGCAACCAGCTTACAATACAAGTACAAGAAATATTCTGCAGCAATGGCAGAGGATCTGTCAGGCCTGGAGCTGGATTTCAGCTGTCCGATCTGCTGTGAAGTGTTTAAAGACCCTGTGGCTCTGAAATGCAGTCACAGTTTCTGTGAGGAGTGTCTGCAGCAGTACTGGAGTGTTCAAGAGGTGCTGCTGTGTCCAGTCTGTAGGAAGGAGTGTTCACGGGACGAGCCCACCAGGAGCCTGGCCTTCTCCAGCCTCTGTGAGAACTTTAAAAGCAGAAAATTGGCAGTTGCAACAGACGATATGTGCCCTGAGCACGATGAGAAGCTCAAACTCTTCTGCTTTGAAGATAAACAGCCCATCTGTGTGGTGTGTTACACCTCAAAGAAGCATGAAAATCATAAATGTTCTCCTATTGTGGAAGCAGTGCAGAAGCTAAAGGTGAGGAGGGGTCTTTGAAATTGGACTTTCTCGGCTGCTGAAAAGTGATCAGTTTGATCTTATACATTCTGAAAAGAATTCTCAAAGGATCTTGGTTTTTATTCTAGGAGAACCTCAAGGTGAAAATAGAGAATCTGAAGGTAACCCTTGATAACATGAGTACAGTGCAGGATGACTATAAACAACAAGCTGATCAAATTATGGTGAGTGTTGCCTCATTTCTCAACCATTTATTTAGGATCCAGAATCTTCAAGCTCTTGGTAAATAAGTTCAGGTGTGCTGGAGATGGTTTTTAACTTGTGACAAACAGGCAGGGAATCAACAGAAATAACGTTCTAATAATCTTTATCATTTCAGACTGAAACACAAAGTGTGGAAGAGCAGATCAAAACAGAATTTAAGAAACTTCATCAGTTCCTCACAGAGGAAGAGGAGACCAGGATCGCTGCTCTGAGAAAAAGAGAAAAAGAAAAAAATGAGAAAATACAGGCCAAAATTAATCAGCTGTCCACAAACATAGCAGTTCTCTCAGAAACCATTGCGTTTGCCTGGCAGGAAATGGAAGCATGCAACGCTACATTCCTGAAGGTATGTCACACACAGACATGTACTGAATATGCATGAATTCCATTCAAAGATGAATTTATGAAAGGAGCTATGACACTAAAACAGTTTCAGCACTGCATTGAGAAATAATGTTGGATTAGTTCTACCAGAAGCAAGAAATAGAACAGGCAAATGTACAGTACAGTGAAGTCACATGACCTGCAGAGTGAAAATCTGGAGAAAGGTCACAATTAAAACTCCATACCTACATACATACATATGTATAGTGGTGTAGTGGCGTCAGAGAACACTTGTGTTTGTATGTATGTGTAAATAGCTTACAATGAAGCATGAAGAAGAGGAGTGAGAGAGAACAGCTGAAACGTTAAAAGTTGGCATCATTGCTGTGTTTTCTTTTGCCGTTTTGGTTGGACAGCTTGTACACTAAAGTGGGCGACATAGCCATATTTCTTTTGCCATTTCGGTTAATATAAAGAGAAAAAGAAAGATAATGGCCTCACCCAACTCTTCCTCTACATGACACCACAATATAAACAAATGTGACCTCATGCTGATTGTTGCATACCTACCTCAATTCACCCTGAGCATTCATGCCTACGTCCACCTATTTTTAGTCAATTAATTCAAATATGTGTGAGGTCTCCCCAAACTGAAATTCAGAGCAGGAATACAATCTGAATAGGGCCCAATAGATCAGACATAAAAGACAGCAGCAGGTCAGTTTAATCATTAGATCTCACCATTGTATTCAGGCAGCAAGAATCAAGGGCTGAAAATGGGGCAATAACACAACAATAGCTTTAATCCTCATTAGTTAGTCAAGTTCAGGGAATGTTTTACTAATTATTAAAGTTTATTTACAGTATTTTGTGTTATATTTTGTTTGTGTTGTAAAGTTTGGTGCCATCGGGATGCTGACAACAGGCTACTATATAATGTGGATTCCAACAAACAATATTTTCTTCCTGCATTACAATTAACCTCCACATAAATCACACAGCGTGCAGAACAATGTTCAGTTTCTCTTGGTGCATGTATAAATGACTAACACTGTATAGAAATAACTGCATATTTTCTCTTGTGTTCATTTCACGTAGATGTACTCTGAAAACATTAAGAGGTAAGTTTGTTATTACATTTAGCACAACACTTCATTTGAGTGCATTATTTTTGCATGATTTTGATCGTTTGCTTATTTCACAAACATGTTTTACGATCAGTAAACTCAAAAAAAAATTAAACCCCAGGGTTGTACAAGCTAAGAATATGTGGACATTGGATAAACAAATTGTGTTGTCTTTAAGCAGCCAGATTACATAAAATGGACAACATATTATGAAAGTGCATTTCAAGGAATGAACACTGTTTGTTTTGATCCAAAGAGAATTTCATTTCAATGAAACTGAAATAAATTGCACTGAAATGTTTCAACTTTATTTAATCAGCGATTGAACTGTGTGTACTGACTATACTCCATTTGATTGAGTGGAAATATGTGGTATAGTTAAGTTAAGCTCATACAACAATACATTTTTTGAGTAATCAAATTTATTACATATGAATATTTGTATTATTTCATTTTAATATTACAGATTAGAAAACCCTCCAGTGCCAAAAGTGAATTTAGAGACAAAGAAGGGTTTAAAGACAAAGAGAGATGAGACGAATCCCATTCAAACCCTGCTGTTCACAGTTTGGACCAAAATGCAGAATCTTATTTCAAATGGTAAGTCTTTCACACTGTACCCAGTGAACACCTGTAACGTCAAATCATTACAACTGAAACTATTTTATATTTGCTAGTATGCACAGAATGGATGATATGCAAGGCTGGAGTAAACCAAGAGCCTTCTTGCATTCCAGGCCGATGAAAGCAACCAAGACGAGCCCGTCCACTCGTATCATAACAAGGGTAACAGTGAAATGGAAATGACGTATGTGTTGACATGCTTTTCACATGAAAAAATAAAATCAAATCTCATCCGGCCCCACTGGGAATCCGGCCTAAGTTTATCCAGATACAATCCAGACATGAAACACGTGGTAATGAAAAGCGTAAACAGGCTCTAAGACCCAACAAGCTTTCATCTGCCCAGAGTGATAGAAAGCTTTAGGTTTGGGGCTAACTCCAGCTTTGTGCAAGGACATGGTAAGGTGTTTTAAGTTGGGGGAGGGGGGGCGGGGCTGAAATTTGAAGCAGTGTATATGTGGCATAGCCGAGGACTTCACAAAAATTTATTTGTCTTTTTATTTCTTTTTTTTTATTTACATCAAATAGAATGTGTCATACTGTGCTATAATGAGGCCAGAGATGACAAAACATACATCTAACTGACACTCTCTGCTCTCTTGTTCTGGATGAACTTGTGGTGTGGTAACCAATTGTGTCACATTTATTGTCACACCATGAGATTTAACACTGAAATGAGATATAAAGGTTGATTAAAATTATAAGGATAAATGATTATTTTAAGTTTAAAAAGCAATATTAGGCTGCGTTGAGACTTTCTCTCTTTAGACCTCAACCAGAGTGTGTTTTAGCGACGAGGCCCCAAAGCAGCCAGCAGCTGTCGGTTCACTGTAATGACAATACGGTTCATCACTTAAACAGTGCACAACTACTGCAGTTTGTATTTTATTTAAAATATAAATATACAAACTCTGCTTTAAAACAAGCACACTTGTGTTCTATGCTCAAATTGTTATAAAGTTCAGGAAGTTTTTATTGTCATTTTTAACAGTTGCAGTCCTGTAATCGAGACGTGCTGCAGCCCTCTCAGAACCCCCACTACCTGCATTCCTGACCTTGCGTATCCTCTTTGTTTTGCTTCCTTGTTTATAATCTCACCTGCTGGTCAGCATTCAGCAGACGTATTCTAGCTCACGTAATTGTATATGGACAATGAAAACACATTCTGTTAACACTTGTGTTAAATGTGTTTAAGATCTGTCTCTGACCTCCTCCCAAAGTGGTTTAAGTGATTCGATCATAATTCAATTAATATGCGTCTTACTGTGTGCTTAAGACTAATACGCATACACCCTGATTATCTACTAAAACATCCAGTGAACGAGTCATAGTAATTCAACTTAGCCCCAATCAATTTATGGTAAAGACAACACATAAAATGACTAATCTGACCATTCTCTCCTCCAGCTCCAGTGACACTGGACCCGAACACGGCCTCCAAACAGCTGGTGGTGTCGGAGGACCTGAGCAGCGTGTCTTTTGTGGAGAAGAAGCTGGCTGTGGCTGATAACCCAGAGAGACTATATGTAGGAGTGCTGGGCTCTCAGGGCTTCAGCTCAGGTCTGCACTGCTGGGACGTGGAGGTGGGCAACAATGATCACTGGACCATTGGGGTGGTCAATCAGTCTGTGGACAGGAAGAAGCTGCTGAAGATGGATCCTTCTTGTGGAATGTGGAGTATTCGTTTCTTCAGTGGGAAATATCGAGTCGGGGCAAAGTCTCGGAAAGATCTCAACCTAGAAGAGTGTCCACTGGTCATCAGAGTGCAGTTGGACTATGAAAAAGGCAAAATAAGATTCTATGACCCATTTAGAAACGTTAGCCTCCATACTTTCACAAACATTACTTTTACAGAGACAGTATTCCCATATTTCTGCACTGGTGATCCAGAAGAACCACTGAACCTCTACCCGGCAAACAAACTGTCATGGTAGTAGAAAACCTTAAATATTGGATTTATAATATTTCAATTTGTCCTAATATTTCAATTTATACACAGGTCCGCACTGCTCAGCAAGGGATTTTAAAGGTTTGAAATCGCAGGTTTGAATGCAATTTTATAACAGATACATGTATAAAATTATTCTTTCATGATGCTACTATTTTACCATTTCATAGATTTCACTTAATTTGTAGGAAGTTATAAACAAATAAAAAAATATTAGATGTGTACAGAAAGATGAGCAGAGCAGTACATGATTAGATAAGTATGAAAGCTGTAGAAAACTGAGAATGAATTACAAAATGTTCAAAATGGCTCATATTTGAGAAATGGTGATCAAATCTCAAGGCAGATAACACATCAAGAAATGGCCTTAAATAGATAATTACAGCATATTATTTACCATTTCATTTAACTTAATGATGTTCCGAAAATGTGAAATATTGAATAAAAAATAAGCAGCTATTAATATGACCAGTGATTCCAGACTTTTGGACAGTAGTGCACACTGGCTGGTCCAAATCTTATGGTGACATATATCTGATGTCCAAAAATCCTTGATTTTTTTAATAATAACATTTCATTGTATGACTTTATATGCTTTAATATATTATTGCAGGTGGAATAAAATCACTATGTCCAAAATGGTAACTTCACTGGAGAAGGAACAAACATTCTAAAATCTTATTACAAAATAAACTCAATGTAAAGGAGAGTTGTCATGGTGAAATGATCAAAAATGAATGTTTGCTTGCTATATAAACTTTTTTATAAACAAGTTTAAAAAAGAAAAAAACAGAAAGCAGTTGTAAACAAAATACAAAAATGATCACAAATTAAAAGAACATATGACAGAATCATACTAGAATATTCATTTTTTGGTTGTGTGTATATCACAATGGATAACAAGTGCATCACCTGTCCTCTTATAGAGTATGGGGAAAAACTCAGTATTACTTACTGTTTCTTATATGGACCATTCTACCAAATTAGTTCAAACTGTGGTCTCACAGTAAAAACTATTTAAATGCAATAACTTAAATATTAAATATTTACACACCGTATATTATGATCTATTTAAAGCCAAGGCATTTACAGCGATAGCACTGAGCTAAATATATACAAAATCATCATTTATAAGGCATTTTCTATTGTGGGACTCCTAAATTTCTACTTGTGAAAATAATACTTACATTTTTTGTGTGTTTTTTGCAATGATGTTTTTAAAGATCTTTTTAATTTATTTTAAATGTGAAAGATTTAATTTTTAAATAAAAACACTATTCAAAAAGTGCTGTCTTATGTTGTCATGTCACTACCAAGAGTTTCATGCCATAGGTGGAGACTTATTTTAGCCACATCCCTGCATTTTAGAGCATAAGGTGACACTGCATCCCTGTCCCTCATGGTCACATGGTGAGCAGTTAGATACTATTGTTTTGGAGTGAATGTCCCCCAAAGACTGTAAATCAGGGTGTTACTGATCAGAATTGTCACTACTGAAACACATATTTTCTGCAGTTAAGTAAACTTTTTTGTTTTAATGGAAAAATACTATGGTTTTATTGTGTACAACTGTTTAAAGCTGGGTTGGCTATTCATTTACTAGCGTTAGCTAAAATTGTCTTTGTCGGGCTGAACATCCTCATGTTTAAAAGGAAGAGAAGAGTCTGTCATCAAGAGAGACAAGGCAACAGATGGCAAAAGAGCCCTGATGAAATACACAAAAAATGGATTTAAAAAAAAATGTAAGAAGTCGATATAAGAGGCTGTGAAGCAATTTCATATTTGTAAGCACTCGTGTCTGCCTAGTTGCATCATCTGCACAGACTGCAGTTCAGGGATCCAGTATTGACAGCCAAGTGCAGGAGTGCAGATCTTTAAATGACTGGCCTCAAGAACCTGAAGATGATCCTGACGAGATATGTTCTGAAGCTCTAATCATTCTGTTTACGGTATCACTGCTTACAAACACAGGACTCAAAACAACGCATCATGTATGGTCGTGATGCCAGTCAGCAAACCGCTTCATTTACCCAATGAGCTGATCAGCTCACCAACCAATCAGAAGTCAGTTGCAGTAATGCCAACCAATCAGTACACAGTAGCAGTAATGCCAACCAATCAGCACTCAATAGTAGTAATGCTAATCAATCAGCACTCAGTAGCAATAATGCCAACCAATCAGCACTCAGTAGTAGTAATGCTAATCAATCAGCACTCAGTAGCATTAATGCCAACCAATCAGCACTTGGTAGCAGTAATGCTAAACAATCAGCACTCAGTAGCAGTAGTGTTACCAATCAGCACTCAGTAGGATTAATGCCAACCAATCAGCACTTGGTAGCAGTAATGCTAACCAACCAGCACTCAGCAGCAATAATGCCAACCAATCAGCACTCGGTAGCAGTAATACTAACCAATCAGAACTCAGTAGCAGTAGTCCTAACTAATCAGCACCCAATAGCATTATCGCCAACAAATTAACACTCGGTAGCAGTAATGCTAACCAATCAGTACTCAGTAACAGTTATGCTAAACAGTCAGCGCTCATTAGCAGTTATGCTAACCATTCAGAACTCAGTAGCACTAATGCCAACCAATCAGTGCCCAGTAGCAATAATGCCAACCAATCATGTCCTGCTGCCCAAAACCCATTTGCTGTAGAAAAACAGAAACATACAGGTAATTTTTCTTTCCTTTTTAGTGAAGTACGTCATTCTACTCTCTAAAAGTAAAGGAAGGTTCTAGACAAGGCGGTTAGGAAATATTTGAACTTTTTGGTTTTGGCCGTTCAGTGAGCACTCGCTCGCGGGCGCCCTCTGGTGGTTTGCAGTGATTTTTCTGATCTAGCGGGAGAATCAGGAAGTGGACAGACCCCCCCCAAAACCAGCTGTCAGAGAAACGAAACTGCGCTGCTGAAAGGGGCGGAGAGAGCGGAGTTAGTACCCAAGGAGATGCATGCTGGGACCAGTACTGCATTAGGGGTAGGTTTGAAAGAGAGCTTGGCGTTAAAGAAGGACCGGAGCTGTTCAGTTAGAGATTTGGAGAGTCGAGCGCTGAGGTCGATCTGTCACCCCGACTGTAATACTGCAACATGGCTACTACTAATGTGTCCATTTCGGAGGAGAGCGTCAGCTGTCCGATCTGCTGTGCTGTGTTTAAAGACCCTGTGGCTCTGAAATGCAGTCACAGTTTCTGTGAGGAGTGTCTGCAGCAGTACTGGAGCATTCAGGAGGTGCTGCTGTGTCCAGTCTGTAGGAAGGAGTGCTCAGGGGACGAGCCCACCAGGAGCCTGGCCTTCTCCAGCCTCTGTGAGAACTTTAAAAACAGAGAAATTGCGACTCCAGCAGACGATATGTGCCCAGAGCACGACGAGAAGCTCAAACTCTTCTGCTTTGAAGATAAGCAGCCCATCTGTGTGGTGTGTTACACCTCAAAGAAGCATAAAAATCATCAGTGTGCTCCTATTGTGGAAGCAGTGCAGGAGCTGAAGGTGAGAAAGTGGCTAGAGGCAGTGAAGCTGGTACATACTTGCTTTTCAAATGCGACGCACTTTATGAACCTCGCTTTTAACTCCCTCACTCAGTCTTAGCTGCTCAAGTGCAGATTTTGGGGCACGGAGGGGTTAGCCACCCCTCAGAAATCAAAACCTACTGACCCCCTGTCCCTTCACTCAGTAACATGTTCTGTAGAATTCTTTAAAGGGCACATATCATTAAAAACTAAATTTCTCTCGTTTTTTTTTAAGTAAAGGAGCTCTAAGTAGTACGTAAACATTGTCAAAGTTTTAAAATGTACCATTCACTGCCCAGTCCTTTTAGTCCATATATGGAAACTAAGCTGCCAAAACACCCTCTAGTTCACTGTCTCTGTGATGTTACAAGAACCAGCTAATTTACATTTATCTGCCTATTCAGCCTAAGGCAGTTTAGCCCCGCCCACTGATGCTGAAGTTATAAGGAGTGTTTCAGCTGTGAGTGCTTTTCGAATGAGGCACAATACAGAACAGTAACCCAATATGGTTCTAATAGTTGAACTTTGTATTCTGACTTGTAGGCCAAACTCACTTATTACCATTCAAATTCTGTTCAAACACACCTGGGTGACATCAACGACGTGTGGACCTGTAGGGCGACAAACCTCAAGGGCACTAAAATTAAAAGCATACATTTGGGACAGACTCCTCGAACACACAGGCTACGTGTGTACAGAACCCAGTGAAATTATGCCATTGATCATTTTTATTTATTATTTTTTTAAATCAGAATCACTTAATTTCACCAGGTGTTACACATACAAGACATTTGTCTTAGTGAGTCACACATGTATGACATGTAACATGCTAAACAGACCAGACAGCACACAGACTGTTAACACACGTTTTAAAGAGAAAGGTAAAATCCCTTAAAGAATAATAATAACAAAACAGTCCATGTGAAAGGAGCTCAGGAGATGTACGTATGAGATATGTAGATATTTGTACATATGCAGATATGTATATCTGTATGTATGCAGGTCAAGTAGATGTATTATAAAATATACTATAAACAATATCATACACAGAATATAACAGAGATGATGAACATTTGTAAAGATCTACCTGTACAGTAGTGCAAATAAGCATTACGCTACAGGAGGAGTAGTGCTGTAATATTGTAAGGAACAAGTGGTCACCAGATGATGTCATTTCCTGTGAATCATACTCATGTGTGGATATTTTAAGAAGACTGACAGTAACAGGCTTGGCTGTGGGTTTGGAGATGTGAAGAAAAGATGCTATTAAATTCCCAAGTACAGCTGTCAGATTCAGTTTTCCTGAGCAAAAGAGGATGCTTCCTGAAGCAGAAACAGATTTTCATTAGACTGAAAATTATTTTTGAAGTGTTTGATCAGAAGTGGTGTAAATGGGCCTGGTGGACAAAACTATGTTCAGTGAAATCAATGATTATTCCTGCAAACAACCTCGAAATGCATTTTTTCATTGTTTTTAACCTTAAATTGTGAAAGATTCTACCTTCATTTGAACAAAAAAAGTCTTGCTCTTAAAATATAGGAACACTTTTCACTGCTAAACTATTTTAAATCGTCCTGATATAATATAACAGAAAGTAATAACCTGTAATGGTGGATCATGGTCCATGGATTGTAAATGTGTAGTCACTCTGTAAACCAACTGGGTCTGGCAGAGCTCCAGAGCTGCCTGAAAGCAGTGGGGCTGTCATACTGTGTGGCCTTGTTCCATTTTCATGTATGCACATGCGTTTTTTCTAATCCTCAGATTGTTGGAAGAGATGCAGTGTGGAACAGGAATACAGTAGGAGCTAGTTTGGCCTTTTCTTGTGCTTGTGCTTTTCTTGTTCTTTTCTTGTTTCTGTGTGCTGATCCTTGTAGCTGACACACCCAAGGCAGTAGCAGGTTAAGATGACTAACAGATTTACACTGAGTGACGAACTGGAACAACTGAATGGGGGGGGCAGATGCTCCCTGACTAGAGGCTCTTTGAATGACAAAAATACAATTTATTACAGACTATGTACAGACATTATCATCTGTTAAGTGTTGGTCAGACTATAGAAGAGAGGACTGTATCTGTGTTGAGGTCAAATTATGCGTACAGTTCTTACGCAGTTCTGGTTCTATTGAACACAGTTCCTCATATTTAACACTATGCTTACAATGAAGTGCAATGAACAACTGATTTACAATGAGGTCATGTGTTTTACCACAGGCAGAGGTGAAGTCAGGAGTGTCAGGTATGCTGCAGAACCTTCAAATCCTGAATAAGTCTATGGCAGATTATCAAATCTTGGCAGAGGCTATAAAGGTAAGTACAGACATATGTTTTGTTGACTTTCAAAGTGAAAATAAGTTAACACATCCTCTACAAGGAACCTGGAGTGGAGACAAGGGAAGCTTGGCCACCCCTCTGGCCTCCCCAGTTATGCAAAGTGAAACAGTCAGCCATCATCAATAAAGCAGTCACTAGAGAAATGAATAAAACTTTATTTAAAGATGTGGTTAACCGGACAGTTACGTTGCTTTATTAATCTACACAGAATTCTGACCACAATGAGTTCCCTCTACAGTGCTGCTCTGTGCTACAGTACATGAACTAGGCTAAGGTAATGTGTAAGTTAACTATCCAGAATTACTCAGCTATAATCATTTGTCATGTTAACTAATTCCTTTTTCCAACTGGCTACATGTGTTCAGGCTAAATTTATCTGAGGCGAATTGGAATACATTCATGCTAAACATAGTTCAGCTCATCACCCAGCCAGAGGCTCTTTCCTCAAAATGGGCCTCAATCACCAACCATTCTTACAAAGAACTTACTTCTTAAAACTCACTTACGCAGTTTTCATGAAGATGTTGGCATTCACCAATGCCTTTTATTTGGGATTTGTTCTTTGGAAAGAACAGAATCTACGCACACTCAAGAACACAAAGGTGCGAACAGTTCTGCAGTTTAAGACGTCATGAATCTGATGCAGACTTTTTCTTAGAACCTCAAAACATTTAAGAAAACACTTAGGAAGATATTGGTGAATGAGGCCCAATGTTCCCTTACACTTTGCTCCGTGGCTGCCTTATCATTAGACTCATAAGTGACATGTAGCGAAGGCTGCTCAACTTTTATGACCTAAAATATTAATATTAATGCACTGAAAAAAAGTGGTGCATTTAATTTACTTGATGTTAAAAGTTTACATAATTTCAACTTAGTTTTGTCTTTCAGTTTACGTTAAGGAAAACTAAACCGAAACAGGAGTTGTTGAGTTTATTATGTGAATTTTAAAATACACAAAGAAAAACGTTGTTAACTGCTGTTTTATTTGTTCCTTTGCCACCCCAATAAATTCACTGGACCTAACCTGGCCACCCAATCGTGAAAGTTCTGGCTACGCCCCTGCAGTGAACACACTTTTTCTATTTGTCGAGTTTAACATGTTGGGGGAAAAAATAAAATAAAATGTACCATAATTTTTTTCATTTTTTATTTCCCCACAATATGTTAAAAACAACAAATAAACAGTAATTGTGCATTAAAACGTGTAGAAGTGTTTCCTCTGTAGAAGATGTGTAACTTACATTCACTTAGAAAATCAACAAAACGTGTCAAATGACCAGGGGTGCCCAAACATTCGCAGATGACTGTATATCAAAGAATTCACTTCTATTCACTCATACATACAGACACAAACGTCTGTGGACGCAGACAGCTATCAGTTAACTCTGTGTTCTGTTTTCAGGAAGAGAGGCAGAGTGTGGAGAAGATCCTCAGGCAGGAGTTTGACAGCCTCCATCAGTTCCTTAGAGAGGAAGAGGAGGCCAGGATCGCTGCCCTGAGAGAGGAAGAGCTGAAGAAATATGAGAAAACCAAAAACAGGATTGAGAAGTTGTCATATGAAATCTCAAACCTGTCCATGACCCTAAAAATGATCAACCAGGAGATGGAGATGGATGACATCACTTTCCTCCAGGTAGGAATGGCCGAGGCTCAGCTCTGTGGTTACGGTCTGACTCTCTGACTGTGTCTGGACAGATGGCTTTGAATACGTCTCTGCTGTGAAAGAAAAATCCATGAGAAAGCGAGTATTAATATTGTACTTTCTAAATAAATGTTAAACTATGGCAACTTTTTGCTTAAAAATAATATTTAAAGTTTTTTTTCAGTTGTAAAACATTCTGCTTATCAGCAAAATATGCCTCTTAAGGATTGAGGGGTAAAATAATTAAGGAGCAGACACCTCCAGCCAGGGTTGGGTCTGGAAGTCATATCTGGCAGTTTCAGCAACATTCCTGCAATGTTCACAACAGCTTCTGACAGGTTCTAACAATGGTGATGCTTAGACATGCCAGCTTGAGTGTAATTGCGATTAATGACATCTAGTATAAACAAAGACTCAGTCTTCTCTTTGTAGCCACAGATTCTGACTCACAGATATGATGAGCTGTGGTTTTAATGTACTGTATCCTCTTTTTACAGAACTATGTTAACGGTCACTACAGGTGAGCGAGTTTATCTGCTTCATTCTTCCAGTCTGTTCACTCATCTGCACTGGTTCTTTAAAGGCAAATCCAACTCCAAATCACCAGATATCAGAAAAAGGTTTCTGAATGACAATCTCAGATTTGCTTAAAGGGAAATTCCACTGATTTGTTCAACATTTCTGCATAACTAAATCATTAAGATTTTTATTTTAATTTGTCAGTGAAATAGTTGTTAATAGTCTGGGTGCTTGTCTGGTCTGTTTAATATGTTACATGTCATACATTTGTGCGCTCACCAAGACAAATTCCTTCAATTAAGTGATTCTGATTATGAAGAAGTTGTCAGTCAGTCAGAGTGGTTTGATGTGAAATGTTATATTATAAAGAAACTTACTGAATTGTTCACAGTGGTGATGATAGGAACTAGACATCTGAATTTAATGGCTCTGAAAGCTCAAAAAGTTACTGCCTGATGCATTGTTTTATGATACTTTTGTTAAGCTTTTGGCTTAAAGCATCTTTAAAAAAACATTCATGGTGGAGGTACATGTAGGCCATTGTGAGACAACATAGTCTCTAAAGAAAACTTTTTTTTTTCTTCAGATTTAAATCTATTTTACCATCATTAATATTGGATATAAAATGTTAGATGCGTCACATTGTCAGGGATAACTCTTTGGTTTAAGGTTTTAAGAGGATGATAGATACCTTGATTGCTATTTTATGGCTTGCAGAAAATCTGGAGGAAAAAAGAAGAATCAAGCATTTTGCTTTACTAATATATTATAATAATGAATATATCTGTATAATCCAGTTATCGATATTCTAGCTAAATTTGTGCTGTCCAGTTATAGTATTTAACAAACTACAGTGTCAGAAAAAATCGAAGACTAAAAATAGTGAATTGGTGTGTATTTAGAGTTTAAGTGTTCACAGTGGTTTCATCAAACAGAACTTTACATCAGGCTGTCTGCCTGACAGTGGGGCATCGATGGTGTTTGTGGAATGCATTCATTTGGAATTCAACAGGTATCTTTTCTCTATGGCTTAGAGATTAATGATGTTTATTTATCTTTTTTTTGCACATTACACTTTACTAAACCAAAGAATAATTCTGAACATTTCATGCATCAAGCATCAGTACAAAACAAATTACTTATCAAGGTTTGCACCTTTTTCCTATGCACTCCAGGCAAAATATAAGGTCACGTCCACTTTTAATTTTTTATTTTTTTTTAATTTCTAATGGAGATTCAAGCCTAAAACTCTGTGCACTTTTGCATTATTGGCCAGAAAGAAATGATTTCCTAAAAAGTATTCAGGAATATGAGTATAAGCAAACCTCAGCTGGGATGTCCTTAATGATGTCATCTAGACTGACCCTTAAATATTACCTGATTAGTCATCCAATTTGTCAGTAAGTCAGTATTGATCTCAAAAGCTTGCCAACTTCTGGCCGATCGAACGTCAAATGTTTTTTCTTTGTCAGATAAGCATGTCCAAGATGTGTATCAGAGCGTTCTGTTCACCTTGTGTTTCAGTCCAGCCAAGAGCGCTCTCCCCGAGCCTAACATGATCTCAGGAATAGATACAGCAAAGCATTTGGGAATCCTGAACCTCAATTTACGGGCAAAGATGTGTGAACTGCTCCATGACCGTAAGTATCACTTACCCTCCACACTGCTGCTACCCAGTGCCTCCTTTTCAGCTTCTATTTCCTAATCTAAAAGTCATCTAAATCCAAAAAGTTAGCTAAAAAGCTTTTATAGATGGTAACCCAAGTTTTCTCCTTTCAGCTCCCAAATCAGTGACTCTGGACCCGAACACGGCCTCTAATAAGCTGGTGGTGTCGGAGGACCTGAGCAGCGTGTCTTTTGTGGAGCAGAAGCTGGATGTAGCTGATAACCCAGAGAGACTATATGTTGGAGTGCTGGGCTCTCAGGGCTTCAGCTCAGGCCTGCACTGCTGGGACGTGGAGGTGGGAGACAATGACTACTGGACCATAGGAGTGGTCAAGCAGTCTGTGGAGAGGAAGAAGCTGCTGAAGATGGATCCTTCTAGTGGAATATGGAGCATTCGATTCATCAGTGGGAAATATCGGATCGGGTTAAAGTCTCGGAGGGAGCTCAAGCTGCCAGAGAAGCCGCGGGTCATCAGAGTGCATCTAGACTATGAGAAGGGAATCATCAGGTTCTCTGACCCGTCCAAAGGTCCTACACTATTTACCTTCACTGATACATTTCAAGAAGCACTATTCCCTTACTTTAATACAGCAAGCACTATCTGCCCACTGCACATATCATAAATAGCTGTAGTTTCCTAACATGCCACAAGGTGGCATCAACCTCAATTTTTTAACACTGTTTTCCTACACTAGTACTGGAGGCCCTGCATTTTAGTGCTTTCCCTGCGTTAATGCAGCCACATTAACTCAGTAAGGGCTTAATGAGCTAATTAGTTGGATCAGGTGCCTTGAAAGCACAGAAAACCCTAACATGTGCAGGGGAGTGGGCCTCCAGCACCAGGATTGGGAAAGATTCAAAGATTTGCAAGAAATCTCAGATGCATATTAAAAATTAGAAAAGAAATTAGAAAAAGCTTTGGCCCATTTGCAAGCTCAATGCTTGTTGATGCCACAGGAATCTGTGGCTGGGAGATCAAAAAAGCATGACTGGGTCACAAAACTGCCTTAAAACGTCCATACATTTCATCAAGTTTCCACACTGGGAAAGAAATATTTAATTTATAATATGTTGATTGGGACCCTGTTCAAAACCTCCATTGTGGAAGCTGCCAGGCGCAGCTGTGGCCAAAAGCTTGTCGGTGCCTGTCATGGCGGTAACCCAAGAACCCCCTGGTGGACACCGGTGGTGAGGGAGGCCGTCAAGCTGAAGAAAGAGGCCTTTAGGGACTGGATGGCCCGAAGGACTCCCGATTCAGCAGATGGGTACCGACATGCAAAAAAGGTGGCAGCTGCAACTGTGGCAGAAGCAAAATCCAGGGCGTGGGAGGAGTTTGGTGAGGCCATGGAAAAAGACTTTCGGTCGGCCTCGAGGAGGTTCTGGACAACTGTCCGGCGACTCAGGAGTGGTCGGGGTGACTGCGCCCAGGCTGTATTCAGCAGGGGTGGAGAAACTCTGACTTCAAATGAGGATATTGTCGGTCGGTGGAAAGAGCACTTTGAGGAACTCCTTAATCCGGGTGACATGCCTCCCTCACGGGAGTCAGGGCCAGAGGCCTCTGGCGTGTCAAGCTCCATTTCCCTGGTGGAGGTCACTGAGGTAGTTGGCAAGCTCTTCAGTGGCAAGGCACCGGGGGTGGATGAGATTCGTCCGGAGATGCTTAAGGCTCTGGATATTGTGGGGCTGTCGTGGCTGACACGCCTCTGCAATAGTGCATGGACCTCGGGAACAGTACCCTTGGACTGGCAGACCGGGGTGGTGGTCCCTATTTTCAAGAAAGGGGACCGGAGGGTGTGTGCCAACTATCGGGGTATCACACTGCTCAGCCTCCCTGGGAAAGTCTATGCCAAGGTGCTGGAAAGGAGACTTCGGCCGATAGTTGAACCTCAGATTGAGGAGGAACAATGCGGATTCCGTCCCGGCCGTGGAACAATGGACCAGCTTTTCACCCTCTCACGGATTGTTGAGGGGGCATGGGAGTTTGCCAACCCAGTCTACATGTGTTTTGTGGATTTGGAGAAGGCTTACGACCGTGTTCCCCGAGATATCTTGTGGGAGGCCCTCCAGGAGTATGGGGTGCCGGGGTTACTACTCCGGGCCATTCAATCTCTGTACGCCCGGAGTGAGAGCTGTGTTCGTATACTCGGCATTAAGTCGGACTCTTTCAGTGTTAGCGTTGGACTCCGCCAGGGTTGTGCCCTGTCTCCACTCCTGTTTGTGATATTCATGGACAGGGTGTCAAGGCGTAGCCGGGGTCAGGAGGGCATTATGTGTGGAGGCCGGAGGGTGGCGTCTCTGCTATTTGCAGATGATGTTGTTCTTTTGGCTGGATCACATGGATGCCTCCAGCACACACTGGAGCGGTTTGCAGCTGAGTGTGAAGCGGTTGAGTCCATGGTCTTAGCCCGGAAAAGGATGGTATGCCCACTCCAGGTAGGGGGAAAGGACCTGCCCCAGGTGGAGGAGTTTAAGTATCTCGGGGTCTTGTTCACGAGTGATGGGAAGAAGGATCGTGAGATCGACCGCAGGCTGGGACAAGCGGCAGCAGTAACGCGGTCGCTGTACTGGACTGTAGTGGTGAAGAGTTGTTTACCGATCGGTCTACATCCCGACCCTCACCTATGGTCATGAGCTGTGGGTAATGACCGAAAGAATGAGATCGCGAATACAAGCGGCAGAAATGAGCTTTCTTCGCAGGGTGGCGGGCTACACTCTGTTTGATAGGGTGAGGAGCTCGGCCATCCGGGAGGAGCTCGGAGTAGAGCCGCTACTCCTCCGCATTGAGAGGAGCCAGCTGAGGTGGTTCGGGCATCTGATCCGGATGCCCCCGGGACGCCTCCCGGTGGGGGTGTACCAGGCACGGCCTACCGGAATAAGACCCCGGGGTCGTCCTAGGACCCGCTGGAGGGATTATATCTCCAAGTTGGCCTGGGAGCGGCTTGGGGTCCCCGGGAATGAGCTGGAGGAAGTTGCGGGGGACAGGGTCACCTGGGATTCTCTGCTCTCCCAACTGCTACCGCGACCCTATCTGGACTAAGCGGTTAACGATGATGAAGATGAAGATGATGAAGATATGTTGATTGATATTTATGATTCACTTTATAATCAGAAAAAATGTACTGTTGTCATACTGCTGTTGAATGTTTTCCTTGTGAAAATTAGAAAATGTTACAGTTTAAAATCATTGATATCATTTAGATTTATTTTTTCATTATTCAACAAGGAAACATTAAGCTTTAGTCATTTAATGTTTTCAAGTTGGGTCCCAGTATTTTTCATGTGGGTGGGAGAGTAGGATGGCCCTCCATCTCCCCCATCACTTTGCGATGCAAGCCAGCAAACATGTCTGTTAGCTGATGTAACAGAATTGGCAGTTAGCATTCTTATCCAAGTGTATTGAGCTGTCTGGTGGTGCTGCATTAGCACTTAAAGAGATGCACTGGTGTATCCAAAGAAGCATGTACTAGAATTTACCCTTTCAGCTTAATAGCAGCCTATGATAAGGGGAGACCTAGCTAGCAGATGGAATGGGCCACGACTACATTAGGGAGAAAAATTGGTTTAAAAAAGTGTGAATGAGATTCTTTGTGAGCTTTCAAACCCTACAAAATAAAGCTGATGTGAGCCTTAAAGTGTGTCTTTTTTAAAGATGTTCATGGTGCAACTCCTAGACAACGAGAAAAACATCAGTGAATCTTGATTTGTTAAACTTTGTATTTGGACTAGAATATGGAGACAGACTCTTTACTGACATTTTATTTACATAGTTTTTGTACAAGTTAGTAAAATCTCGATGTCAGCGTACACTTTCTGATAATCAGACCTCAAATTCAGTTGAAAAACTGAAAAAAGGCCCTCATTTCATAATTAAAATATAACTTCTGCAAACATTACTTCACTCCAAGTAAATTTAAAATGGAAAAAATAGGTTTTCCTTTTATTTCCAGTAAACTGTTGGCTGATTAATCACATACAGTACAAGATGTAAACGCACACACAAGCCAGGGTTGCAGACGTTCAGTAACTAGACAGGGAGAAATGTGCTTTAATCCCCCATAATGTGGACTCACTTATCAACTGACCCTGCATCCAGGCCTTCTTTACACTCTACATGAACATATTAAGGCAATTTAAACTCCACCCACCGGTCATTATTACCAAAATAGTTTTCTCATTTTGTGTTTCTATTTCACAAGGGAAGCGTCATTGCACTGTTTTACCATTTTAAAAATATCAAGGCCACACAAACGTTTAAATGATAAGCACAATTTCACTCTGCAATATGAGGGGCTGTCACAATTTAACCCATTTGAGGGAATTAAATAAACAGGCTATGGAATGGAAGGCCAAGGGAAGGAACACAGTCATTTATCTATGAAGGTAGTGGTGTCTAGTTAAGGAACACGAGGCTGCTTTATCAGCTTCAACATGTAGTGCAAGTGTTCCCCAGACAGCAAAACTCAAAGGCTGAAACAGCAGTGAGCCATCTTCAGTTTGCAAAGAAAGGAAAGGGCTCCAGCATTGCTACACAATTTAAAACAGACATCAAGCCACATGCAAAACCACAGTCTGACACTGATAAAAATATCCATCATCAACACAAAAACCAGCTTTAGAAAAGGAACACATTTAAAAACAAATGTAACTCAACAGCTATACAACACCAATCAAAATGTATTAAAAACAAAGCACCATCCCACTGTCATTGTCCCTTTGCCACTCGTTAAGTGTAACTTCATTGTCCCTTTGCTGGAACTGAAATATCATTCTCCTTTCACCATTGTTCAGTTGTGACCTAAACTCCATTTCGCAGGACATGCTGGAGTAAAACAACACATGACGATGAGTCAACACAAAGGAATGATGTCACGTTTTTATGTATTTCACAACAGAACAGATTGAATGGAGTTCCCTTATAAAAGACATTTCCATATATTTTCACTAATAAATCTTTTCCTTCCTCCTCCTCAGAATACATTGCCATATAGATGTTATGCCAGATTTTACAGATCTGAGGCTAAAAAAAATCAACAGTAGCCTTTTGTCAGAATTGAATCTGATGATAATTAGGCCTCTTTTTCTCTCCTTTCCTGAACTGTTGCTGTTGAGGAAACAGGAGGACAGCAGATGCTCTGTGTCTTTTGTGCCACTTTGGGTTTCTTCCCTGTGCTGGGCTCTCCAGCACAGGTAATGATCAGATATGAAGGAGCTGGGTGGGAGGAGATCAGGGAAGGGAAAGAGGTGCGCTCTGCTGTACCAAATATGGTAGATGATCAAGAGAAAGAAATTTCCAGTCAGGGAAGCTATGTTAGGGTCCTGATGGTCTCACAGTAAAGGAGTGTTTCCTGGTAAGGAGGCGGTGGAGTCACTCGCAAGCAAGTTTGCTGTCAAAGCTGGACAGGCCAATGGCGAAGGCTTGTAGAGCACACATGGGGTAATTATAGTCCAACGTGAACACGTCCTCAGCCACACGGCCAAACTGCATCACGATGTAGTCCGCTGGAGAGACACAAGCAGAAAAAAAAACTCAAAACCTAAACAAATATGAGAATGACAGATTACAAAGACTAAGAAAGCTAAATACACACTGTGGCCAACAGCTTATGGACATGCCACCAACACATCTGTATGAGCTTGTTAGATACTCCATTCCAAAACTATGCATTAATAAGGAGCTGCCCCCCTTTGCAGCTATAACAACCTCCACTCTTCTGCGGGAATTTGTGTCAAAAAGCACTGATGTTGAACGAAAAGGCCTGGCTCACCATCAACGTTCCACTTCATCCCAAAGGTGTTCAGTGGGGTTGAGGTCAGGGCTCTGTGCAGGCCACTAGAGTTTCTCCACGCCAACTTCATCAAACCAGACCTTTATGGAGCTCACTTTGTGCACAGGGGCACAGACATGCTGGAACAGGAAAGGGCCTTCCCCAAAACCAATAAAGCTAACAGTGCTCTGACTTTGCAATCTGTCCCAGTGAATGTTTCTGCTCATTTTTGTTAAAGAAATAGTAAAAGTATAAATGTTTGATAGATTGTCTGCTAAATCTATTCATACATTTAAGATGAAGGTCAGATATCTATTTGACCTATATACAGCTTGTTGGACATCCCATTCCAAAACTATGGGCCTTAATTTGGAGT